CACCCGAGCGCACCAAGCGCGCATCAATCCAATCAGACTGGAGAGGAATTTCAGAAGACACGCCGCCATGGCCGAGTTTTAGCTGGGAGATACACTTGCCGCGCCTTGATGAACACAGGTGTTGGGCAGAACCACCTAGGGATGCGTGCCTCGAGGTCTCCGGAATAAATAGAAGGTTGTGCAAGTGCGAGGTCGACGTTGAATTGCATGCAACTTGACGAGAAAAACGACTCGGGCCTCCGGGTAATAAACCCTACATTCATCATTTCCGTTGAACTCACGGTAGTCAATTCAACGCCCAATCCAATCCCAGAATCTTGAGAGGTAAATATCCTCAGATAGTCGCCGCCAGCCAAGGAGAACCGCTTGCAAGTACCGAAGCCTGACAGTGAGTTGCTGGCGTAAGTCATGGATTACTGTTAGGTAGGGGCCGCGATCCGCTTTGAGGGCAAAGCTAACCCATAACTACCTAAGAAACATCCGGGTTTCTGAATTTCGCAGGATGATGGCAGAGGAAAGAGCAAGACGATTGGCTGATCCGACGAAAGCGGATCGGCGTTAGTGCATCGCCACACATCCACCTTCTCTTCCTCCATTTTCAGTTGACACGAGGAACCTGCGGCGAGCGAAGCGCATGCCACAACAATGACACAAGGAAAGTTCCCTTTGGATGGAGGTCTAAGTGAGTGCGACCAGACCTAGTTACCGGGTCCATGATTGGTCAATTAATTTCAAGATATCTTTAATATTTCGTCAGAAAACCTCCGACTCAGGAGGAACCAGCCTAAATGAAACCAGGAATCATTTAAATACAATTTTCGTTGCTCACTTTTCTCACCTACCACCACACAAAAAACTTGAATCCTACTGCAATGATATCGATGCGCTTCTTCGCTCGTCGACGCCTCCTCCGCCGCCGTCGCCCAGTCCTCGCCACAGAGAGCAAGATCATGAACTCCGCCGCCTCCAGCAGAAACATCGCCGTGTCCTCCAACGCCTCCTCCGGCTCCGCCGCCGTGCCAGCGCCAGCGCCATCGCCGGAACCGCGCTCTCCCCCTGCGCTCTCGCCTGCATCACCGCCATCGCCAACACGACCAGTGTGGTATCCTGTGCGTCCCACTTCCTTCTGAGTGTTATTGTGATGTTCACACGTTCGCATCGCAGCTCAAACATCACCTGCGCCTGCACCAACGCCGACTTCCAGTTCAAGGCCGGGTCGTGCCTCCACCCGAGTGCCAAGTGCCAGGCCAACGAAATGAGCGCTGCTCTCGGGTTGCAGGCGCAGCAGGGTGGTGCTGGTGCGTGCCTTTTCGTTTCGCAACCTTCTTCGCTCTTATTCTCTTCTCCCGCCCCATCGTTCGCTATTCTCGTACTATTTCCTTCGGCGCCAGCTATTATTGCTCGCCTGCATTCGGTTCTGTGCACTATTCTCGTCTACTTTGGCACGCTGCTTTATTTCCGCTCATTCCCCATCTTTTCTCGCTTCCATGTCGCACCCGAGTGGTGGGCGCCCACTTATAATTAGGCGCGCGCGCGCACCCTTTCTTACCAGCTCCTGTTTCACCTTGTCCCTCTCACGTCCACCCCTGCCGCGCGCGCATGCGCCTTCTTTCCCATCTCCCCCTTTCATCTCCACCTCTTTTCACTAACCCTTCCCTTTTTATTTTTTCCTCTCTCCCGTTCATCTTTATCTCTTTCCTCATTACCGACACACTTAACTCAACTAACGTCCTTCCAGCCTCCCTCTCCACCACCGCCCTCCCCGCCGCCACCGCGCCCATCACGCCCTCCAACAGCGCTGGCGATATTTCCAGCTCGCCGAGCGACCGGGAGTTGGTGAGTCGTAGTTTTTTATCTTGATTCCGACAGTCACACCAAAACGGGTCGGGGAGGGGGTTTTTGCGGTGGACGCGGTTTGTCGGCCGAGCACGAAGAGGCGGACGCGGTTTGTCAGCGGAGCGGGGTGTAGCGTGTGTTCTGGTTGTGTGCGGACGGCCAGAAACTACCTCTCCCGATCTTCCACGGCAGCCCCTTCTGTCGATGACATCTCAGGCGTCATCGCCATTCTCATTCAATCAGGTGCAGTCTGCTGCACCTACCCGCTCTCTGCCTTTGTTGGTCCCTCAGGACTATCAGCCAGTGTATCCCGACTTTTCACAGCGCAGAAGCTCTGAGACTTCTGGCTCAGAGCAGCCGCGCGGTGATGAATTCGCGCGGATGGTAGCAAAATTGAGGCCGGATGAACTCGCTCAATTAAACGAGACCCTGGGTACTTCTCGTAACCTTTATCTGCTATTTAATGAGAGCCCAAAGCTGATGTCCTGCATCCCATTTGACACGTCAGGTAGCCAGCACGACCCTCAGCACTGCATCAACCTTAATTTGGAAGGTGGAACATTCAACAATAATCACTGCAGCGGGATCGCGGATGGGCTTGGGCTTTTAGGACGCGATGATGGTCTCGACCGCGGTCATTCTCCTACAGACGATGATCTCCCCGCTATGCGCCAACTCTTGTCTTGTTCTTCTGGCTGACCGGTTTCAGCTTATGATCAGCCCTGGAATACTTCTCAACCCGATGATGAAAGCGGACTCCACCAAAATGCTCAAAGTTCACTCGAGGCAAGTCACTGTCATCATTAAACGTTCTCTGTTTTCAGTTTTTAATTCTCAGGTTGAAATGCATGATGTCGATGTGCGCAAGAAGCATAAGAAGCGCAAGCGTGTTCCACAGGTACTTTGATAGCTCGAGTACGGACAGCAACTGATACAAATATCAGGCAGATCAGGATTCCGACGTGGACGATTCTCCTTCCCGGTCCGAACCTGCCAAGAAGAAGCGGAAGAAGCGCGCAAATCGCCGCCAGGCGTCTCGAAGCATTCGAGAGTTCACTGGGGATCGTCGTATCATAAAAAAAGCTTACCTTTTTCTTCAGAAGGCCCTTGCTATCCACATTCCGTGGCCAGTTGCCAGCGAGTCCGGCGATCCCAGTGCTGATGACGATGAATTTCAGATCCTTATTGAAGACGCGTGGGCGGAGGCGATAGAATTCCTCGAGCTGGATCCGGAAGATTTCAATGAGATCTCTCTCGACGAGAGCAACCTGGTGAGTTTTCTATCATATGGATTTCCAGCATTAACGAACGTTGTAGATTCGCTCGCGCATTTCCCGGTTCCGTGGCTGCGTCATGGCCGAAGCCGATAAATTGGTTCGCACCGGTTACGGCTTCATCGACATACAGTCGTTGGATGACCCCGCCCGGAAGATATTGCGGAGGCGCAAGAAACCAATCGCCAGCTCGTCGCCGACCTCGAAGGGAAGTTTATGTTCCTGGTGGGTATTACTTAAATCTGTGGCGGCGGTTGGATGACCTGCTTTAGGATCCCAAGGACACCTCTGACACCGCCAATGTCGGCCGTCACTCGGTTTCCAAAAGCTCCTCAACGCTGCCTTTTTCGCCCATAAAGGCCAGAACCGCCGTGCCTTTTATTTCACTGGCCACGACTTGTTACCGGAAGCAGCATTCGTTTTCTTGATGACTGCGGTGAGTATTTTGAATCTCTCGTGAAGCAAGCTAATAACTTGCTTCAGATTGTGTGCGGCATTGATAGATACAAGACTCGTCGGCATGAAGTTGTCGCCTTTGACTCCGAGACATACCGGTCCGTCTATCAAGCCTCAATGCAGTTTATCCGGAAGTGGATTGCCGAACATAACAAGGATGTGTACCCTGCGAACCTGGCGGAAGAGCGTCTTCGGGAAATGCTCAGCAAGGCGAGGTACGATAGCTGACCTTTCTGCCGCTATCAATCTCATTACACACCTGTCTCTAGGAAATTATCGGAGACGCCCGCAAAGCCAGACCAAAACCGGCGCTCGATGTTTCCCATGGACATATTCTCTTAGCGTAGTCTGTGGTCCCGTAGCTAGTCCTGAAAGGCGATTCGTTTTGTGCCTATTCCCTGTACCGCAAACAGCAAGCGAGCCACTGGCCCATAGATACCGCCTTAGAACCACGTGCGCTGTGTACTAGTAGCTATCATGACGTACACTTCTTTCCTCCTCACTACCTCGCTCTTTTGTCTCCACCGCTACTGCTGTGCCCGCTGGATCCTGCTTGCTGGATGTAGGCGTTCCTAGGTCCTTGAGTCTCCCTCAAGCTTACTGGCACTCACTGTTTCCACCCCGCGCCGCCTCGCTGTGGCACTCTGCTCTGTAGTATCGTGGCTCCAACCCTCCATGCCATCGATGCGCTGAGGCGCTCTTTGCTCCAAATTCTCGGCTCGTCGGAGCTTCTGTAGGGCCAATGGATCCAGTGCTGGCAGACAAAACCGCGCTGCTCACTCGGTCTATAGATCTGGTGCCCTCATTTCCGGTTTCACGACCTCCCTTTCACGCCGTTTGTTTGCTTCCCTCCCAATGGGTCCTACTCCTCTTGCTTGAATGAATCCATCCTGCTGGCGATTCGTTTCTTGACATCAAGATAGGAATATTCCAACCACAAAAGCCATTCGCAGGAGTTCAGGTCCTAGGGCGAGTCGAACACCCGTCCCTCCGTGATGGCAGTCCTCGTGGCTAACGACATGGAGCGATTTCGTTAATCAAAAGGGACTTTGAGTCTCGACCTGTAGCCAGCGTTGGATGCAATACAACAAAGTATATATACACTCCCAGATGAACAGAAAAAATGTCTCGCCGGCCTTCCATAATATCCGAGGCGGTTCAAACGTCCGTCTCTCTGTGATCGTCATGCCGAAAATCCCTGATACAGAGCGATTTCTATAATCCACGGGGACTGCAACGACCCCGATTGGAACTTAATGTAAAATGATCAGCGGAGCCATTACACATGCGCAGGGAATGAGAAGAGGATCGTGTCGCCCTTTGTTCATGGGCGGAGTTTTATAATATGCACATGCGTGAACTTATATTCTGTTACGTCGACGACATAAAACTACGTAGGTGTTGACAAATAAGATTCTGTGTTCAATCCCCCAATGTCCCTGGGGCGAATCGAACACCCATTTCCCCAAATAATACAGGAACTTACAAGTTTATCTAAAGATGGGGAGACTTTTCATTAATCCACAGGGACTGATAGTGACTCTTGTGTGCCCGTAAATGTGTGTGCGAGGTGAGAGTTTATGACCACAATAGTAGGAGTGCTAGGCACAGACACTGCATTCAGACCCCCCATAGGCACAGATGTGCCCACCTTCACCGATCCCCGCCTACGGACTGCCCACCCAAGCTGACGTTGGTCTACCCTAATAGGCATCAGCCGACGTTGGTCTAGCATCCCTACCGAGGCAAAGCCTGCCCACCTTGGTAGATCTTCACCAACAGTGGTGTGTCTATCTTGGCCAACCTTGGTCAACCTTGGCCGACCTGGGTCTAGGTTGGTGTTGGTTGGAATGGCTGGACGGGTGCAAACCATGTCAGATTTTGAAACTAGGCTTAGCTAGGCTCATCGGCCCACGTGAGTCTATGTGTGCCTAATCCAGTGGGAATACCTAGACCAACCTCGGCAGGGATGGGCAGATGGATGGGCAAGGGTCAGCACACTGGTCTGCCTACACATCTGCCTATCAGGATCTGGCAGACCTGTGCCTACGGGGGGGTCTGAACGCAGTGAGAGTATGATCCCGCGAGTCAAATAGAATTTACCTCGGGAACCAGCGAAGCGCTGCAAATGTTTGAGCCGGCCCAAGACGGGACAAGAAAAAGGAAAGAGATGAAGCTCGGACTACGTCCCCAGGCGGAATCGAACAGCCACTATCTGACAATCGGTTCTAGCTTGCAGAAGAGCTATTGGAAACTGGTGACTCACCGTTTGATCAATGAGGACTGTTTGAGGGTAGGATGCAATTTTGGTACGTGCTAATCTTTACACACGGATCTTCAGTGGTAGTCATGGAGTGATATACACTGTTTATCCACAGGGAGTCTCGGCACAGCGCTGATATATGCGGGTGTATTCGGGATAGCGTGGCGCAAGGTCAGCGCTTAATTTGAGCCTGCCTTTTGTCAGAGCGGTAGCAGGATCGACTTCAGCAGGAACATCCTCGACGATGGCATCGAGCTGTATCTTGATGCCACCCGCTATGAGGTGGCTAGTTGCCGACATATGAAATCTATCTGGGTACGCGTTGTTGAAAAGCAAGCGTTGCCCGTTCACAGTAGCCTTTTTGACGTCCTTTTTTGCGCCCTTTTTGGCTCCCTTTTTCCCGCCCTTTTTCTTGTTTGGCAGATAAATGTAACCGGGTGACCTATAAAATCCAGAAAAATTCACCTGAGTTCTTTTTGAACACCTGAGGTGCTATGTGACCTTTATAGCTGTTTCCGAAAACCTTGAGAAAATCTAAATTTTTTGGAGTGTGTTCAACTTTTGATGGAGTGATAGCGATTACCATGTTTGGAGGTAAGTCCGACGGACCGGTCAGACCATATCTCCAGATTTGGAGAGGTCATAGGGGCAAGCCATGACACCATGCTGCTAACCTGGACAAGTTTATAGTATGGTGTCATCGTGAATAAAAGACAAAAACTTTGGGCGGTAATCAAGCGGTAATCAAGCGCGGCAGTGATCAAAGTTGGACTTACTTTTGCTTACTTCCAAACATGGTAATCGCTATCACTCCATCAAAAGTGGAACACACGCCAAAAAATATAGACTTTCTCAAGGTTTTCGGAAACAGCTGTAAGGAACCATAGGAGCACCCAGACTGCATGAAATGGATAAAGGGCGCCAAAAATAGAGCCAAAAAATGACGAAAAAGGGAGCTGAAAACCGGGGCGTTCACAGTAGCCTTTTTTCGGCCCTTTTTCGCTTCCTTTTTTTTTTCTGATTTCACCCAATTTCGCACGTTGGACCTAGATTTTTTTGGATTTACACCCTTTTTGCATGTTGAAATTGAAAAGGGGGGGAAAAGCCGGAGAAAATCAGTAGGAATACAAAAAAGGGAGCGAAAAGGGAGGAAAAAAGGCTACTGTGAATGACCCTAATAATAACTCCTTTAGCCTGAGGAGTCAACTTAGCTGGAATCATATGTCAAGCAGCTGTGCGTACAGGCCATATATCTTTAACCTCTGCGGCGAGTTCTGAATCAATCGTATGTCAATATCAGGGAAAATGTCAAAAAAGAAAATGTGATGACGTGACGGACCCCATCCGACAGCACCTCCGTCGACCAACAGGTAACTTCCTGCGCTAGTAAATTTGTCGCGGCTGCGAGCAAGAAAACTCTTCACATCTTCCGCGCTATCTGGGAAAGAATCGGATCCGCCCAAGAAAGACCGGTAGCCAAAATAAGAATATCATATGGCAAAGAATATCATATGGCACCGGCTCGCCACTTCCTAGAGTGAGAAAACCACTGGATTCGCCCACGCTCTGATGGATAATGTGTATGGAATTTTGGAGGAACGTTCCGTTTTCCCACGAAAGGGACGAGCCTGAGCAGTACTTCTAAAATAAACAAAGTTCAGAAGCTTAATGAATTGAAGCTTCGTGAACTTACATCAGCAAGAATCAAGATGGAGTCGCAGAGAAAAAGTCCTCTCGCCACCTGACCCGGTGTGTACTACTACCAGCCCTATGATCTACCGTATCTTGCCTCTGCCTAATAGGTCAAACGCAGTCCAACGTCGGCTGCGGAGCTATGAATCCAGTATTAAACCACGACTCACAGATTCAAAGTCGGTCTCTTAATTCCCCGACGCCGTGGCCTTCTGAGACTCTATTTCTGTCGGTGGCTGGTACGGGTGCAAGTTGAATGTTCGTTCCCCTAATACCAGTGCCACTTTTCAAGACCCCCCATGACTTTACTTCGGTGTGGATATCAACCCCTCGGCATCTGGGCCTACATCTCGTGAACAGCGTCCGCATGTCGAGATTCCAAATACAGGTACGAACTGAGTGGCCGTGTCCATCCAGGACCCTTTCAAAGTTCTAACAGAATTGAATGTTCTTCGGCTATAGCTTTAGCGACTGTCGTGTAATCACACAGCTATTGCATCAACCCCGTTTTGAAACTGCGATAAAATGCGCTCGAACACGAGCGGAAATAACCCACCCATCGAAACATGGTCCAGCTCTCTCGCTTAATTTTTCGCTCTCCCTGCTCGCGGCTGGCGTCGCTACCCCTCTGAAGAGAACGGTCGCCCAAGTCGAGTCCGACATTGCTAACATCTCGTCTCAAGTGACCACCTTGGACAACAACATCAAGGCTTTCCCCGGATCGGGTCTCACTACATTTTGATGGCTCCTCGGCCAACTTGACCCGAGGTCGGCTGAGGTTGGCCGAGGTTGGCCGAGGGGCCTCGACCGGGTTGGTCGAACCCCTCGGCCAACCTCGACCAACCCGGTCAAGCCCCTCGGCCAACCTCGGCCAACCTCAGCCGACCTCGGTCAAGTTGGCCGAGGGGCCATCAAAATGTAGTGTCTCGCTGGTGCTTTGGTACCTGCTCTTCAGCTGCTGCGTTGTCTGCGTTCTTCTTAGCTGTTGTTTTCCAGGGTATCCATAGTGCTGCAGGGAACTTGGAATCCATTTTAAACAAGGCCACGTCTGACGTTAATGTAAAATTCTTCTCCCTTTCAGCTAGTAATTGATTTTGCGAAAGGCGACCGGAGCTGTTAGTGAAGCCGACGCTATGACCATCCTTCACTCAGTGGAGGCGCTCGAGCCTACCATCCTGGATTCGTTGTCGCAAATTTCTACCAAAAGGGCCGCTTTTGTGAATATTGGCATTTGTTTTGCAGACATTCTTCCTGATCTATATTTTGTAGGACTCTCAGCCAATCAGCGGCCTCTCGGCACTGGTCAAGGCGGATCTCCAAACTCTCAAGACCGACACCGACGCTTTCGCCAACGCGCTGATCGCCGCCGCACCGGTAAGGCCTTTTCCGTTACGAAAGTGGATTGGGCGGCTGAGTTGTTTCTCGCAGGCCGACCTGAAAGCCGAAGCGATGACAATTTTGACTAATGTCGATAATGGGTTCAACAGTGCTATCGCGGCTTATTCCTGAAGATCATCAGTTGTCGAAACAATAACGGTTGACAGTTGGTTTATCTGATGCTTCTCAAGTTCTCGTGTTTGCTTGTATCTTGCCTTGTACCCGAAATTCTGAATATGGAGCAACATTTTTTATTGCAACCGAAGGTCATTGATGGTAATGTCGTTCATCTGAAGTGAACAGTTAAAATCATTAGAAGTAACCGGGCCGCGAAGCGGCACAGCATCCTTTTGAGTTAGGTGTTTAAATGTACATTCTGAATCCCTTCATCTGCATAAACCCATGGCCTGAGTGTGTTTGTCGGAGAAGTGATGAAAGCCGATTGTGCGAGAGTGGCAGACGCAAGCAGAAGGCAGCATGGAGCGCCGAGATATCTGAGTTTCAAAGGACGGAGGATGGATAGACACAATATGATTTACCGAGGGAGAATACCCCTTGGTATTTCGCTTGATCCGTCCAGGTATTTCCAAATGCATTTGAAGTGATGCCCGATAAATTGGCTCATATTCGGGAAGAATAAATAAGCTCATAATTTAGGGCAGGTCTCGGCAAAAAGATCCGTGGAGCGGAGATTAAAAAAGCTTCGGACAGCCGGACAAACACATGTAAATTTATAAAGAGCGTGAAGTGTCATGGCTTGGGACCACCAAAAATTCGGGCGATGCTGTTTGCATTCCTTCAACCGGCCTGCCAGCACACTCAGCCAGGGTCTTGCGTGATCTAACACCTGGAATCGGTGTGTTCCATTTATATCTTGAGGATTTCTGCAAGGATAGCCACCCTTACTACAGTACCACATGTATACCTTAAGTAAACTCGTCGTTCATATTGTGGACTATAATATATGTACTGTATGTTTTCATTCAATTCGACAGGGGTGTGACGCGTGACATCTTGAACCAATCCGTCAATTCGTCAAGGCCGATTTTGAGTGTGACAAGGACGAAAATGTCGACAGACCCCCACATTGGTCTAGAATGATCAAGTCCACTCCGGAGCTTGTTCCAAGTCTTTTTCCGCACTCGTTTGGTTCCACAACACCATATGGCCCAAAATGCAGTTTTACCTCAATTTCTCCT